CAGCCTCCACCGCTTCTGCTGACAGCTCATTCCATACATGCACTACCCTCTGCGTCAAAAAGTTGTCCCTTAGGTCCCTTTTAAATCTTTCCCCTCTCACCTTAAACCTATGCCGTCTAGTTTTGGACTCCCCCACCCTTGGGAAAAGACCTTGTCTATTTACCCCATCTATGCCCCTCATGATTTTACAAATCTCTATAAGGTCACCACTCAGCCTCCAACACTCCAGGGAAAACGGCAATAACAAGATGTGATGTTTACAGCATAATACAATACTACAGATGCTGGAAATCTGAAATAAAAATAAAAAGTACTAGAGAAACTTGGCTGGTCTGAAGGCATCTGAGGAGAGAGAGAAACAGTTGATGTTTTGTGACTTCTTCAAAACTGTCAGATCTTTACACTGTTTAAATTTGGCATTATTGCATTTATCGAAATGGACAGCTTTGACAGCATGTCAATCCTTTCAGCAATATTCAAATTCTGTACAATCGGTCTATGTCTTTTTTACTCCATCTTTTGTACAAATGTACGACATAGTCAAAAATAACACATTGCAACTTTTTCTCTGGTACTGCCCAAATCATTTTGAAAACATCCAGATATTGTTCATGATTGAAGAGCAACATTATGTGAATTGCAATAGCTAAAAGCTACGAGTGCATCCCGAGAAGTTGGCGTCTTGCACATTTGCACGCTCTAGGGTCTGTCTTCCAGCTCAAAATTTTTAAAAGAGATTGATACTTATGGCACTGTATACATGCAAGTTGCTTATAAGCCAATAAAATGAAAACAAAAACTCCCTTCATATTGTGTTTTTCATGACTTTCAGCCATCTCAAATCTCTTTTCAAAAGTACTTAAATAAAAGCAAAGTACTGCAAATCTAAAATAGGAATAAAAATTATTGAAGAAACTCGGCAGGTCCGGTAGGGTCTGTGGAGAAACAAGTAGCATCTTGAATCCAGTGTGATTCTTCAGTTCCAAAAAAGAATCTTATTGGACTCAAGATGTTAACTCTGTTTTTCTGTTCAGATGCTGTCAAACCTTCTGTGTTTCTCCAGTATTTAGTTTTTATTTCAAAATTAGTTCATTGCCTGTACTTCAGCAAACACAGCAGTTAATGGGCATACAGCATGCTCCCACAGTCAGCAATGTGATAATGATCAGATGGTCTCTTCTTTTGATGTCGATTGAAGGATAAATATCGACCAACCTCACTACTCTTCACAGTTGTTCTGTGAGATCTTTTACACCTACCTGAGCATCATCTCTTCGAAAAAATGGCACCTATAACAGTGCAACCCTAGAGTGTCAGTCTTGATTATTGTGCTGAAATCATGAAATTGGACTTGAATCCAGAACCTTGTGTTCATAAATCAATGAGACATGGAGCAGAAGTAGGCTATTTGATCTATCAAGAGACAACAAGGTGCAGAGCTGGATGAACACAGCAGGCTAAGCAGCATCATAGGAGCAGAAAGGCTGACGTTTCGGGCCTAGACCCTTCATCAGAAATGAATATTTGATCTATCAAGTTTGCTACGCCATTCAATGAGATTTTTAATTTAATACTGTTCCACTCAACTTTCTTTTCCATAACCGTTGGTTCCCTTATGAATTAAAAATCTGTCTATATCAGCCTTGAATATTCTTACAACCTATCTTGACAATTCCTTGCAGTTAAAATCTTCCACAGATTGGCCAACCTCTGAGAAAAGAAATTCCTCCTCCTCTCTGTCTTAAATCGGCGGCCCCTCTCTCTGAGATTATGGCTTCTCACAAGGGCAAATAATGTCTCTCCATCTACCCTGTCAAGCTCCCTAAGAATGTTGAATGTTCCTATAAGGTTGTCTCTCATTCTTTTAAACCCCAACGAGCTAAATCCCAACCCACTCAGATCTTTTCCATAAAATTCCTAATAAGTCATCCTGCCGTATCTTATCTCATTAACTATCAAATCCGGCCCGACAGGATATGTCACTTCCAATTCCAGTTCCACTTTACTATGCATCATTCCCAGTTTACCTTGCCACTTAGACGAAAGACCAGCATCCCTTGCAACCATGCCTTTTTTTCATGGTTGCTGTGCACCCAGATGAGCATTGGCATTCCAAAACTGCCCTGCTTGGTCAAGGATAGTTTGAGAAATTGTTAGAGACCTCAAAGATACCAAAACATCCATATTCTTCCAACCAGGAAAGTACCATTCTTCATTCCACTGCAACTATCAAAGTAATCCTGCTGCTAGTGTCATTCATTGCACACCACTTCAAAACACTGGCTGCAACAACATCTTTCTCTTTTTCTTGCACATACTGCCAGCACGTCTTCTACCCCCAAGTTGCAACAGACAGCTACCACAGAAACCACCTTTTTGACCTCTGAGGATCCTTAAATAAGGGGACCACATGTGTTCACAATATTCCAGGTGTGGTCTGACTAGTGACATATAGTTACAGCAAGGTTTCCCTATTTTTATACCCCATTTCCTTCAAAATAAAGGCCAACAATCCATTTGCCCTCCCTAGTACCTGAATAGCTGAACTTGGATGCTATCTTTTCATGATTCATGCATGAGGACTCCTAAGTCAATCTGTGCTGCAGCTTTCTACATACTTTCTCTGTTTAAATAATATTCAGCTCCTCGATTCTGCCTGCCAAAATTATAACTTCACATTTTCTCAAGCAATGTTTCATCTGCCACACTTTTGTGTACTCCCAACCTGACTGTATCCCCCTATAGATTCTTTGTGTCAGCCACAAACTTGGCGATAGTGCATTAACTTCCCTCACCCAAGTGATACTTCTGACTTGTATTTAATTGTGGCAGCACTGATCCCTGTGGCATTCCACTCATTACAGGTTGCCATCTGAAAATACCCCCTTATCCCAACTCTCTGTTGTCTATTATTTAGCCAATGCTCTATCCATGCTAATGTACTACTTCCAATACCATGGACTTTTACCATATTTTGTGACCCTATGAGTGATGTCTTATGAAAATCCAAACATGCTTCCCCTTCATCTTTCCTGCTTGTTACCACCTCAACAACTACTTTTAATAAATTTGTCAGGCATGAGTTCCCCATCCTGAAGCTGCGCTGACTCTGATTAATTAGATTATACATTTCTAAATGCTTTGTCATTGTATCCTTTATAATAATCTCAAACATTTCCACAATGATGAAATATTAAGCTAACTGGCCTGTAGTTACCTGCTTCTCATCTGTTTCTTGAATAACAGTGTTACATTGCCAGTTTTCCAACCAAGTGTGACTTGCCCAGAATCTAAGGATTCTTGGAAAATTACTGCCAGTGCATTCATTATTTATGTAACTATTTTCTTTTATAACCTAGGATCCAATTAATCAGGTCTAGAGGATGTGTCGGCTTTAGCCCCATTAGTTTCTCTAGTACCATTTCTGTAGTAGAATTTGTATATTTATTTCCTCCTGATCTTTGCTCCTTGATTCAGTATTTTTAGAATGCTATTAAAGTCCTCTACTCTAAAGTCTGATGCAAAGTATTTATTTAACTACTTTGCCACTTCCTGGTTCCCCATTGATTATTTCCCCAACCTCATTCTCTAAGCGGCCTATGTTCAATTTGGCATTTTTATTTAAGTTTTTAAAAGAGCTCTAATTGTCTATTTTTATACTAGTTTCCCCTCACTTTGTTTTTTCCTCCTTCCTTATTTTTTGATTATCTTTTGTTGCCTTTTAAAACTCTTCCCATCTTGTAATTCAAAGCTGAGAGTGCTGCTTGTGAGCTGTAACTGTCACCTAAAGCTATGCCAATTCCCTTCCCTCACAGGTATTTAATTATTTAAAGATTCTAGCACACAGTCTGTCTGGCTATTTTGTATTGCATACAGTAGAACACCACAAGACCTGGATAATACCAAGGTTTGGCTGATGTTCGGCAAATAACATTCAAGCCACACACAGCATGTCTAGACAATGGCCATTTCCAAAAAGAGAAAATCAGATCATTGCCCCATGGCATTCAAAAGCACTACCAACATTGAATCCCATACTGTCGACATTCTGGGAGTGATCATTGACCAGAATCTAAGCTGGACTAGTCATATAAATTCTGATATTACAAGAGCATTTCAGAGGCTGAGAATCCTGCTGTAAATTTCTGTCATCCTGACTCTCCAAAGTCTGTCCAGCATCTACAAGATACAAGTCAGAAGTTTGACGAAATACTCTCTACTTATCTGGTTGACTTCAGCTCCAAAAACACTCAAGAATTTTGTTACCATACAAGACAAAGCAGCCTGCTTGTTTGGAATCACATCCACAAACATTCAATGCATTGTAGCAGCAGTGTGTACCATCTACAAGATTGACTGCAGCAACTTACCAAGATTCCTTAGACAGCACCTTTGAAACCCACAACCTAGAAGGATAAGACCAGCAGATACACAGGAACACCACCACCTATGAGTTTCACTCCAAACAATTTATCTTCCTGACTTGGAAATATATCACTGCTCGTTCATTGTCACTGAGACAAAATCCTAGAACTTGCTTCCCAACAGCATTGTGGGTCTACTTACACCAAACGTGCTGTAATCGTTCAAGAAGGCAGCTCACGCCACCTCCTCGAGAGCAGTTATGTACAGGCAATAATTGCTGGCCTACACCCCCCTGAATGAATGAAAAAATACCCTTTATGCAATAAATTACTTCATAAGTTTTTGTTGTATTTTGCCTGTGGTTGTCACTGTAATTCAGGGGAGGACACTTCAGAAGCAAAGGTTCGTTAATTAGCTCTTACATACTGTGGGTTTAGCGCCTTTAAATGTCCTTAATGCAAGTTTGTTACTCTTCTTGCCTCATTTTACTCTTACTTTTCTCTACATTGCTGTTCATTTGACTCATCTGAGATTTTCATTCCTTTGCTGTATAGATTGTTTAACATGCTGAGGTAAAGAATACAGTTGAATAGAGTTGTAATCAGCTTCGATTTTCTTTGTTTTCTAATCTTGAGGTCTTAGCGCCGATCGACCTTGTGCGAGAGCAGTGAAGGTGGAATGCCCTTATCCATTAGTGCAAATTGCTTCCAGGAATAATGTGGTATGGGCATTGACAGAACAGCGAACCGCTCTCTTTAGGAATGGCATAAGCAGTTTTTGTCCAGAGGGTGAACATTGGATTTCTGATATTATAAGGTAGGCAGATTTATGCTGATGTGAAGTTATGTTCAGATCATTTACTTCTGGGTATTTTCTGAAAATGTTTAGCTTATATCCATTTTGATTTTATTTTCATGATTCTGATTTTCATACTGTGATTTCTTGCCATATATTTGGAAACCATACCGTGGTATATGAAAAAAAGTTGTAATTTGAACCACAAATACCATTTAACCTTCAGTTAGTACTCGTTTTGAATGTCAGAAATGTCCCACAACATTACTTAACATTTAGAGCTAATAAGTTTTCTTTCAAATAGGCTGCATAAAATTATTAGCCCAGAATTTACAGCTGTATTGGGAGTCAGGTTTCCCATTCACACTGAAAAAGTTGCTGTAAAATTCATCCTTATTCAGTGGGCTGCCTCAGAGCGTTTAGCCCTGTTAAGAGCATTAATTGCCTTGAACTATGCTTCCTCCCATTATCTAAGGAGAACCTCCCAGCTTTGGGAGCTGCCTGCCAGCCAGCCAGGAGGAGCAGCCACTGCTGGGACTGTATCAAGTACCAAAGAAGAGCCAAGAACTGAATGACAGATAAATTGGGTGTGTGGAATGGGGAGGGGATTCTGGATGGACCTAAGATGGGAGGCCTTAGGGTTAGGCGGCAACGGCGGTTGGAAATCTAGTAGGGCAGGGACACCCCTGTGGGGTGGGACAACCTCATTGCATGGATGTTCCTCAGATTGGCAAGGGGACCAGTGAAGCGAGCATTACCTCTCCCCTTCCATTATGACTAGGTCGTGGGGCAAAATCACAAATTTATCATGACATTCAAACTGTTTACGCTCTATTTTGGCTTTGTGAATAAAAATATTAAGCTGTGTTTAATGAAGAAGAACTACATTTTTAACAATTTACAAAGTGATAGTGACTGCTGAGCAACTTCTTTGACTATGAAGAGCTATTATCCTTCATTATTGCAAAATTCAGGCCCTTAAAATTTCAAAAAATTGGAAATACCTTGTGAAGCTTCCCATTTCCCTGCTTGAAAAAAATAATCTAATCATTTGAATATCAATCTTTACCATTATATGCTCTATTTTCTCACCTTTCTTTTGATTGATTGCAAGCACCTAGCATTTAATTATATGTTGCTTCAAATTGTTGTTCCATATAAAAATGGGTAGGGTTACAATATAATTTAACATTAATAACCAGTACTTCAGTGTGCTGCAGTACTACCAGGAAATATTAAACTGAGTTGTCCTCTGTGCTCAGTTCAGTGGTTCAAGGGAACATTGAGGATTCAAGGCACTAATCAAAAAAGAACTAGTGTCCTGACCCATATCCTTCCATCACAAAAGAAATTAATTGATCATTTTAGTGTGTTGCTGTTATCTCTCACTGAATACAAAGTTGTGGCTTGCCCTGTAAAGTAGTTAATTGTAGATGAAGCATTTTCAGATGTTAATTAGATGCTTTTTCTATGGAATTGTCCAACTGATTTCTATAATCTACTTCTTTTAGCAGGTGGGGATAATGTGAACTACAAGGGAAAGTGTATTATTATATTGCTACAAGCAGTAATATTAAGGCATCTGGAACAACAGATTTGCCAAATCACGACAAAACATAAATATGTACAGAGAACCATGAGAAATTTGGGTATTTAAACAGGTTGTAACTATTGTTCACTTGCACTGATACTGAATGATTGATTTATATCCCTCATTAATGTACTTCTTTCTCAAACAAACGTTGGAAATTTTCATTAGTTCTGCTGATCAAAAAAAAAAGAAAAAATCTGGATTGTTCTCCTATTTTACAGTGAAAGGCAGATGTTAGAGTTGGTGTGTATAGCATTGGGAGACCAGCAAACAGTCTGGGCTTTGGACACAAATGGCAACCTCTGGTTTCGCACTGGCATCTCTTCAAGGAAGCCGCAAGGTGAAGATGAGCACTGGTGGCAGGTAAAATTTTATCAGATGTGTTGAATGATTATCTGTTCTATTTGATGAATCCCTAAAAGTTTTATATTAGCTGTCAAAAATGTTGATCTAAACCTTGTGGCTAATGGTTTTATAAATACTGCAGTATATGCTGTAGAGCGTTTACAGTCTACACATGCAGACATATTTCAAAAATACTGTTTTAGATGGCTTTTAAGTAGGCCATCTATGTAATAAATGTGGCTGTGAACAGTAAGAAATTTAAAACCTGTGATCATCTTGAATAAGACTTTCTATATGGTAATTGCTGCAAGATTTGCAACTTCTATTAAATGTTCTACTGACAACTTACACCATGAAAATAAGTCTGAAGGAGTTTCTTAGTGTTAATGAATTTGATAATGAGATTGTTTTCTTCTTTCCAGATATTCTAACCAGCGAAAATAGCAAATATGAAATTTCATAACTTTATTATCCAGTATTTTTATGAAGCTTTGCTGAACTGACTTCAAATTATATGAATTTGCACTCATTGTAAAACTGCTTGATCTCCATCCTTATTTTATTCACGATTAGAATTGCACTGTAAATGTTTTAACTAGAACTGTCAATGTTTAAGTAGAGTAAAGAAATAATGTACTGTGTAGATTAAAGGTCTTCCCTGCTTTGGCTTGATTTTATGGCCAGCAGAGAAATGACAACTCTGACCTTGAAGAAAGCAGCCCAAAAAAATCGCTGTAGCATAGATTTCAGCTATTGCAATGTAACTGGCAGCAGATAGACTAAACGTTTTCTAGCCCATCAGTCCATCATATTCACATTTCTCAATGTTAAATTTGATTCTGACACCAATTATAGGGAATCGCTGACATCCAACTATGTCATCAGGCAGGCTAAGAAGTCAGTCACATTGAAGAATTCTCAGACAACCAGAAAGTAGATTATGCTTCACTATTTGATCCTTTTATAGCAAGTGAAATAAAGATTATACAAATATTTATTACATTAACTAAGAAATTTACATAGTGTAAAATTTAGAAAAAATACTTTTTATTAAAAATCTATGAAATTCTCATTATGGAGAAATAAGATACATTAATATAAGAGAGAGCCAGCCATGGGTGTGTAAGGAAATAAAGGAAAGTATCAGATTGAAAAAAAACACGTACGAAAAAGCAAAGAGTAGTGGGAAACTAGTAGACTGGGAAATCTTTAAAAGCCAACAGAAAGCCACAAAAAAAGTTATAAAGAAAAGTAAGATAGATTATGAGAGTAAACTAGCTCAGAATATAAAAACATGCAGCAAAAGTTTCTATAAATATGTAAATCGTAAAAGAGTGGCAAAGGTAAACATTGGTCCTTTAGAGGATGAGAAGGCCAATTTAATAACTGGGAATGAGGAAATAGCCGAGACATTAAACAGTTATTTCGTGTCGGTCTTCACTGTGGAAGATACAAATAACATGCCAAAAACTAATGGCAAGAAGGTTATAGCAGGTGAGGACCTAGAAACTATCATCATCACTAAGGAGGCAGTGCTGGGCAAGCTAATGGGGCTAGAGATAGACAAGTCTCCTGGCCCTGATGAAATGCATCCCAGGGTACTAAAAGATGTTTCGGGCCTAAACCCTTCATCAGAAAACCCTTTTCTGATGAAGGGTCTAGGCCCGAAACGTCAGCCTCTCTGCTCCTATGATGCTGCTTGGCCTGCTGTGTTCATCCAGCCCTGCACCTTGTTGTCTCGGATTCTCCAGCATCTGCAGTTCCTACTATCTCTACTAAAAGATGTGATGGGGAAATAGTAATTATTTACCAAAATTCACTGGACTCTGGGGTGGTTCCCGCAGATTGGAAAACAGCCAATGTGACACCACTGTTTAAAAAAGGAAGTAGACAAAAAGCAGGTATCTATAGGCCAGTTAGCTTAACTTCGGTAGTGGGGAAAATGCTTGAATCTATCATTAAGGAAGAAATAGCAAGACATCTGGATATAAATTGTCCCATTGGGAACACCCAGCATGGGTTCATGAAGGGTAGGTCATGTTTAACTAATTTGGTGGAATTCTTTGAGGACATTACTTGCATGGTGGACAATTGGGAACCTGTGGATGTGGGCTATCTGGATTTCCAGAAGGCATTTGACATGGTGCCACACCAAAGGCTGCTACATAAGATAAAGTAGCACAGTATTACAGGTAATGTATTGGCATGGATAGAGGATTCGTTGACCAGTAGAAAGCAAAGAGTAAGGGTAAATGGGTGTTTTTCTGGTTGGCGGTCAGTGGCTAGTGGTGTGCCTCAGGGATCAGTGTTGGGACCGCAATTGCTTACAATTTACATAGATGATTTGGAGTTGGGGACTAAGTGTGGTATGTCAAAATTTGCAGATGACACTAAGATGAGTGGTAGAGCAAAGTGTGCAGAAGACACTGGAAGTCTGCAGAGGGATACAGATTGTCTACGTGAGTGGGCAAAGGTCTGGCAGATGGATTACAATATTGATAAGCGTGAGGTCATCCATTTTGGTAGGAATAACAGCAAAATGGACTATGTTTTAAATGGTGAAAAATTGCAGCACGCTGCTGTGCAGAGAGACTTGGGTGTCCTTGTGCATGAATCGCTAAAAGTAGGATTGCAGGTGCAACAGGTAATTAAAAAGGCAAATGGAATTTTGTCTGTCATTGCTAGAGGGATGGAGTTTAAAAACAGGGAGGCTATGCGGCAGCTGTATATGGTCTTGGTGAGGCCACACCTGGACTACTGTGTGCAATTTTGGTCTCCTTACTTGGGAAGAGATATACTAGCACTGGAGGGGGTGCAGAGGAGATTCACTCGGTTGATTCCAGAGTTGAGAGGGTTGGATTATGAGGAGAGACTGAGTAGACTGGGATTATACTCATTGGAATTCAGAAGAATGAGGGGAGATCTTATAGAAACATATAAGATTATGAAGGGAATAGATAAGGTGGAGGCAGGGAGGTTGTTTCCGCTAGCAGGTGAAACTAGGACTAGAGGGCATTGCCTCAAAATAAAGGGAAGCAGATGTAGGACTGAGGTCAGGAGGAACTTCTTCACCCAAAGGGTTGTGAATCTGTGGAGTTCCCTGCCCAGTGAAGCGGTTAAGCTACCTCACTGAATGTTTTTAAGGCAAGGCTGGATAAATTTTTGAACAGTAAAGGAATTAAGTGTTATGGTGAGTGGGAGGGTAAGTGGAGCTGAGTCTCAAAAAGATCAGCCACGATTTTATTAAATGGCGGGGCAGGCCCGAGGGGCCAGATGGCCTACTCCTGCTCCTAGTTCTTATGTTCTTATGTTATGTTCTTAAGACAAAATATAAAATTAGTTTTTCAAGGTCGAAGAGATCTTTATGTGAACTGTCAATAATGAGCATGTGCACTACCAGCTGGTTCTAGTCATTCACCTGTTTAAATGACCAGAAACAGTGCAGCAATCTTTATATTTATTTAATGCTGGCTGTTGGATCCAGCCATAAGTTCATCTTTCTCAACAAATGTGAATGATTGGCAGAGCAAACTGATATGCAAAAGTGACAGAATTTTTTAGAGTGACTACAGTAATGAGTGAAAGCTTTTAAACTGAATTAGGAAACTGACAATTTTTCTTATTAGTAGGATTTTTTTGCCACGTTATTTGGGTAATGTCCTGAAGATTAATTCCTGAAAACAATAAGATTAACAACCGCAAAGTTTAGCAGTAAAGAAACAGAGCTGTGGCTGAGTTAATAACTAATTTAAATATTCAGCAAAGAGTAAAACAAACTCCAAAAGAGAACAAAATAGGCAGTGCAATGGACCAAGCAGTTCTGTCATCAACTCCCTAGACTGAATCAGCATGAGAAGCTGGGAGGGAATTGAAGACGGGGTGATTGGTGCATTGACTGGGGAGGCAATGGCCTCGTGGTATTATCGATAGACTATTAATTCAGAAACTTGGGTAATATTCTGAGGACCCAGGTTTGCTGCTCATCATGTCAGATGATGGAATTTGAATTTCAATAAGAATCTGGAATTAAGAGTCAAATTAAACCATTGTCGAAACTACTATCTGGCACCTTACATGTGACTCCAGATCCACAGCAATGTGGTTGACTCTTAACTTTTCTCTGGGCAATTAAGGACAGGCAATAAATGCCATGGCTGGCCAGTGATGTTCACATCCTGTAAATAATTTTTTAAAAAAAGCTAATTAGTGTAAAGTAAAGGTGGAGCACTTGTATAATGACATCAGCACCCACAGGGAACATGGTGATGATGCCAGCACTGGCATAGACAAATTCTAGCATGGCTGACATCACTGATCCTGTCTATACACACACTGCGCACACCCTCAAAAAAAAAGAGATCGACTGATCCTTTTTGTCAACTCAGCAAACGCATAAGGCCAGGACCTGGTAACTTCCCAAAATTGTCCTGCAGGAGGAGCATAAGCAACCCACTGCAAACTGTAGAGATGTTTTGAAGTGAAGGAATCCCTAACTCTTTGCCCAGAGCTGTCCTTCACTTTCATTCACTACGTGCTTCACTCACTAAAGGTGGCACTGGTTCTCACAACAACACGGAGGACAACTCTGAGACCTGGTACCATGGACAGCCTGACCCACCTTCATTACACAGATTTCATCCTAATACCCAAACGTACAGTTTATTTGTTGTTAAAGAGCATAATTACATGAAGTTGTTATTAAAATAGTCCCTGATTTTGGTCAAACTGACTGACAATTGTGATGCTAAAAGATGGCCTAATTTCAACCGGACCCCTTGAGAGACTGTCTAAATGTAATTAATTGCTCCACTCTGGTGGAGAACCTCAATTTCATGAAGTTCTGAAAAACAATTTGAATAAAACAAGAATCAAACCTGGCATTATTCCTTTCTTAGTGCTTCTGAGCATTAACACCTTGCACTCATCGCTCTTGTTCTGGTGCGTCTTTGACCCTTTTTTTTCTCCCCCTTACCCTCAACTAATTAACTTAAAAATGTGTGTTGAGTTTTAAATGTGGCACATCTGAATTTATCTATGATATATGGAAAGAATAGGAAAGAAGGTAGTGTAGTAAAAATCTCAGAGGGGATTTTTTTAATTCCTTGCCAGGATTTTGTCAGATTTCCATTTGAAACAACCCATTTGAAAGTCTCTGTAGGAGACCAAACTAATTTACATCCCACTTACCAGCTGCCTGCCTAAAAGGGTGTACTGTTCAGGTAATTAAGCAGTCTGTGCTGACCAGAGCAGATCTACACTGAATTTTGTGACATGTAAGTCACTTCTTAAATCCTCAAAGCATGTCCATCCACAAGGCAGAAGTCAGGAATGTGATGGATAACTTTCTGTTTGACTTAATGAGTGCAGCTCCAACAACACTCAAGGAGGTCAACGCCCTCCAGGTCAAAGCAATCCACTTGACTCGCACCCCATACAACTACTTCAATGTTCACTTCCTTCACTGGCTCATAGTGGCAGTAGTGTGTACCACCAACAAGATACACCACAGTAACTCACCAAGCCTCCTTCAACAACACCTGCTAAACCTATGATCTCTATCACCTAGAAAGATGGGGCAGCAGTTTCATGGAAACACAACCACCTGCATGTCCCCTTCCAAGAAATGGACCTTCCTGCTTTGGAAATATAGTGTCATTCCTTCATTATCACTGGGGCAGAATTCTGGAATTCTCTTAGTAACAGCATTGTGGGTATCCCTACATAAGGACTGCAGCCATTCAAGGAGGCAGCTCACTATGATCTTCTCTGGGGCTGTTACTGAAAGGCAATAAACGCTGGACTAGCCAGGAAAGCCAACTATACCATGAATGAATTTAGAAAATACCTAGAACAACAAGAGTAGCAGGCACTTTAGAACACCATCAACTGCAGTTCCATCATGAAGTCACAACTATCCTGACTTGAAAGTGTATAGATATTTAGAGGAATAAACATTCATAGTTCTGGGGTACTGATTTGAGTACATTAACCAAATGTTGTGTGCCTGTTGAATAAATTTTGTTTTGATAATAAACCCATCATTGTGTTTAGTAAGAATACTGGCTAATGGAACTTTGTTTAAAACTTGATATAGATAATGTATTTAATTATTCATCTTATTAATTGGGAGAATTTTTTTTTAAATTTTGATGTGGCTGTGAAGTGGTGGGACCAAAGCAACAGTGCACTCTTCCAACCTTACTTAAGAGCATCAAATGTTAAAATTCTGGGGTGTTAAATATACTCCTATTACATTATATAATATTTTTAGCTAAACTCTTTGTTTTGATATATTAAATCCCAGTTTTTGGATTAGGCACCATGAAGATGCTTTTTTGATACTTTTTAAAACAACTTTGCTATTTGTAATCTTTCATAGCAAAATGTACTTTTCAAAAGTTGTATTTTTTGACAGAGAAGTTTGGGTTATTGTTCTTTTACAAAAAGCATTTTGTATTATAGGTGAGCATAACGGATTATGTGGTCTTCGATCAGTGCAACATCTTCCAAACAATAATCCATGCAACACATACTGTTGCCACAGTTGCTCACGCTCCAGTAGAAAAAGTAGCAGACAAGCTGCGAGGTGCCTTATGGTCGCAACAGCCTCCACCTCAGCCAAGTCTCATCAGTGTTAACAGCAGTGGTGTGTGGATTACCTCAGGGAAAAATGAGTTGCATGTGGCAAAGGGAAATCTATTAGGTTGGTCAGTCTTTTGAATTGTAAATTAATTTTTTTTATTGTTTCTCTATCATTTGTGGTCATATTTAAGAAAATAAAGTTTTGAATGTTGTCTTAAGTTTTATATTGTCGATCCTGTTGTTTCACTGACTTGAACATCTCTCAAATCTTTGTGCAATGTATGTTTGTTAACTAATAGGACAGGCAGTAATCTTTTTTCTGGCTTTTGCCAGGGCCAGTTATGCAAGCTATTGGAAAGGGGTGGATCATTTCTGTGTAAACTGTGCTGCAATTCTTTGCCACTGTTCTGAATTCGAAGTTATCTACTGCTTCTCATCATAAAATATGGAATTTTTGTGCAATGCAAGTCCTATACTGAAGAGTTAATACCCACTCTTTTCCTTCTACAAGTTATATCAGAAAATATGTCTGGAAAATAATATTCAGTTTGGCATATCGAACTGTCTCGCAAAAGTGTTTTGAGTCAAGTAAACCAGAGATATCAATGCAGTCTGACACTCTCCTAAATGTTTTAACGGCATCTGCGAATTAAATTGAAATGGTTGCCTTCTTCCCAACTATTGGAAAATCTTTTGATTATGAGAAAATGCGTCCTGGTTACTGAATGTGTAAATTAATTTCTGTTTTGACTGTGTTACAACCAGGTGAAGAGCGGTAATTAGCTTCTCTCTTGTCAACCCACTCCTAGTCAGTTGCAAAAAGTACTTTCATTTCCTTTTTCACATTTAGCTACCACACCTAAATTAACATGTAGCTAACTAATTAAAAGGATCCAAATTAATTATAAGGTTTTCTTGATTTGAAAGACAACCTAATTTTCTTCCAAAATAGTGGTGGGGAGTGGGGCTGTGGGAGTGTGAGGTGGAATGTCGATGCAGACAGTGTGGTAAAAGTAGTAGCAGTTTAAAGTTTTTAAGAGTGCTGAGGGTGTTAGATTTCAAACCAGAGTTCTGACTTTTAGCTGTTGTTTTGTTTCTTCAACTAGTGGCAAAGTTTGGAGATCTTGAGTTGTCAGTGAAAGTTGTTGTTCCAAGTTCTTCTTTTCACGAAGCACTAACTTTTAAAGATCAGAGTGAGACTGGTGGAGAGTCCGTCTTCCAGTTCTTACAAATCCATTTTTTTTCCTGTTCTCACCTTAGCTGCCTAGAAACAACTGTTGATATTGGTCCATTTGTATATTCCTGAGTGTGCGCTTTCTTTTCCCCAAACTTGCCTCTGCACGTAGGCTTTTATTTCAATGTGCAATTTCCTGAAAGATGTGAATCAATCGGGAGATGCAGATCTGAGTTTCAGTGCCATTTTACAACAATGTTAACTATGGTTCTGACTGATACTTGGTCATTGATGGTTTCATGACCTTGGTTCAAACTGGTCAGGTGATCACTGCAGCCATTTAGGTCCACTTTTGTCCCTGAAGGTATCAGGTTTTAAAATAAGATGATGGAAGTTGAATATTGATAATCCATTTTACTGCAATTGTAACAAATTTATAGCCATTTCTTATTGCAATAGTTAGTGATTTTGTTCATTGTGATACTGCATCGGATTAAGATACAGTAAAGCCCTGCCATTTGCAGGGGGACCACGTTCCCAGAAAATCCCTCAAGCAGTAAGATCGCAAATGGCATACAGGTTTTATAATTAGGGTTAATTGGATCAGTTCCAGCCATGCAAAATTTTGATATCTGCTAATATTTGTTTTTTTAGATAAAAGTGATATTAATGGAGAACTTTTCAAAAATCTGTCTCAGCTGTAGGTTCAATGCAAACTTCTACTAATAAATACCAGGCTGATTGGATGGCCTCACTTTGAACAGAAATAATTAAGAGATTTTTGTTTTATTTTATCCAAATGCAGTTTAAAAAAACTAATAGCAAATTCTTAGTTTCCTCATTCTCCCTGGAGAGTGAAACCTATCTCTGGTGAGTTGACCAGTTAATAGCAGCAATCTGATTCTGAATCACTGTGGGGGCGAGGGGCAAAAATAATTATTCAGCCCCAGAATGCATGTTCTCAAATGAAGTGGACATTTTTGATGTAAAAGTAATTCACCATGACAGAAAATCATTAGTTTTAGTTGGAAGGCAACAAATGATTGTAAGCTGGAGATGAAGTGCAATATGACCAAAGTTAGAGACTGAAGAATTAAATGTGTGTCATTTGCAGATGTGATACAGATTTGCAAATGACACTATGTAAGGTGCAAAAATATGGTGTATTTTAGTCTGGGAGCAAAGATCAATTGGCATTACATCTGACATCCAAAAAAAAAAGCAAGTGTAGACATTTTTTTGTGGGTGTAGTCTATCCCATGACAACTATGGATAAGCGAACATTGATGATGCAATGGGTAGTACAGTGCACAGAATGCTTCATGTAGTGAAGTGAATTCTCAAATGGTGGACTTCGCTGCGGTTGACCTCTGTATTAATTTAGAAGGTGAGGGAATTAAAGTGGAAATGTTCTGAACTCTACTTTTGAGCTGTTAATAATCACAACTAAAGAATGTGCTATCGTTGGGTACCTGCCCCTAAGCAGAACTGTTGTGTAACCATATTTTTACTTTTGTTTGCTAATGCTGCAAGCTGAGTTTGATCTCTCCATGTTAGCAAGCTATTAAAATATTATTCTGTTTACTTCTATAGCAACATATTGGAAGACAGTTGTGCCTCGAGGGACTGTATCAGCTACAAAGTGGGCTTTTGTCCTAGCTTCCATGGCGCCTACTAAAAAAGGTTAGTATGTAACTATGATAATAGTTCTTGCAGCTGTGTCCATTTTATACTATAACTTTCACACAGGCTAAAGCAACTTCTTGGCTATATTTGGTTTAAGAGCATAAGACTGCATTCGATCTCCTGTTTTTTTTGTCTACCACAGTCTTGTTATATAGTTCCAGAATTCCCTTAATGTGTCCCAATACGGATGCTGGATTGCTTACAAGGGTGGTTCCTGAGAGAAGAAAAAGCTTAGAAAGGGAAAAATAGAACTGTTGTGTAACGGCACCACCTCATATTCTGCATCTTTTATGTCTTTACCTTGGAGCTTTCTTCTAGGCAGCGTATGGAATGGTTGCCTAAATGGAGGAGTTAAGAATCTGAATTAGCAGTCCCTTGTGGACCCAGGACTGCTAGAGCATGCATTAGGCTGCAAAACTTATTGCCTCCCAGTGTCCTTCTCTTATTCCTTCAAAGTTTGACCACTGGAATAAGGAGAGTTGTTGTACAGATCAGCCAATGGGATGAATGACTGATTCCTCTTTCTATACTTTTAAAAGCTCTTTTCTTCTTGTAACTAACAGTGCCTCTGTTCTTATTATTTACTGTGATGGGAATTATTAACCTGCTGTATCACAGTATTTAGTCTTTTAGTATTCAAAATTATTACATTCTAGAGTAACATGACAAGCAAAACGATTACCATTTTAAAGTTTTTTTCAAAATAATTTGTGTTACACAAACAGATAAATTATAGTTGTTGAATAGACTGCTAAATTATGGTCTGTTTCTTCCTTTACTATTTGTCCTGTTAGGTCCATTTGTTTTACCACCTTCTTTCTATGGAAATCTCCATGGTGCCTTTCTGTCCGCACCTGAGCTCTTTGGAAACTTGGTTCATGGAGCTGTATAAATAATGAAAATGAGTTTCCTGTGTCATTTTATCTTCTATAGGAAGTTTTCTGTGGCTGGGACAAAGCAACAAGGACCTCTTCTGCATCAGTGACCAAAATCCTGAGTTTCGGCCCTCGACTGTACAGTTACCGCCTGATGTAGAGATGGTACAGGTTTCTGCCAGCCATGATGCAGTATGGGGTCTGGACTTACAGGGTAAAATTCATATTAGGACATTGTCAGAAAACTGTCCAAGTGGGATGCACTGGACCAAACTGGATCTTACACAGTTAGGTAAGGCTTTTTTTCAAAACACTAGTATGTTACAGGAACCTTTGTACTTTATATTCTAAATAGTGCAAGTACTTTGGCCAAGTCCAAATATATCTACTCCACCTTTCTCCTGCCTACATACTCAGTGCATTCATAGGATGTTTCTACTTTCTACATTAATATTCTTCTAGTCTTTCTGAAACTGTTAAGTCATATCAAAACCAAGGCATCACCCCCTCCCACCCCCACATTTACAGTATGTGAGACCAGATGACTGAGTTGCCTGCCTCATGCCAGGGTTCAGGACGTCTGCTCAGTGCTGTTTAGGAACTTGGAATAGGAGGGTGAGTATAAAGGAAGAAATAATGAAAGCTGGGCAAAAATGCATAGTGATAATCCTGGAGGTGTTAATTTATGCGTGGACTGGAAAGTTCAAATGGACAATTGGTGAGTTTACAGAATATTTTTAGGATACTGCACTACCAACGCAGCTACGTCAGCATCCACTCCTGCCCATCAGATGTAACTTCTTACCAACCATTTCATTTTGGAAACCACTGCATGAGCCTGGTGGAATTCAGCCAATATCTGGCAGCGACCTTTACTCAGGCCAATCACTCTTGCTCCCCACAGTAATATGCTGTTCTGTACAGTGATCTAGTCTCATCGGGTCCGGAATGGTTTCGGTCCCAGTATAGATAGCTCTTTTGTTTCCCACATCACCATCAGCTGTTTCAGTTTTACCAGGATCTTCTTGCTTCCGCAGTCAGATATTGTCAGCGGTGACTGGAAGGGTGCCCAGAAAATTTAAGAACAGAACAGGCTGTTCCAGGGGAGGCACCACCAATGGTGTACCTGCCAGTTCAAGGCATCCACATTTGCACCTTGGCCTCCTGGATGGTGCACCAACTTGTACGCACTGAGAATAAGGGCCAATACTGAATACGAACAGAAGCTATGGGCAGCACAGTCATGTCTTTTTTAAATAGCCCTAGAAGGGGTTTGTGGTCTGTTACTATTACAAACTTAAAGGTATTGGTGGAACTTTCTCACATCAAAGATGACCCCAAACCTTCCTTCTCTATCTTGGCATATTTGCGTTCATCATCAGCCAAAGTCTGGGAAGCATATATTATCAGGCGTTCCTCTCCATTGGGCCACCGGTGAGCCCACACTGACCCCAGTACCGTGTGGGAAGGCATCACATGTCAGCACCACCTCTTGCTTGGGATCATAGTGGACTTAGATGATGATAGCTGCTTTTCACTTCCCTAAAGGTTACTTCTTGACAACATGACTACTTCCAAGGGTGACCCTTTTTCAATAGCAGGTGTAAGGGTGCCAAGATGGATGCCAGGTTACATAAGAATTTTCCGTAATAATTCAACAATCCAAGGAAAGACCTAAGCTCCAGTATAGACATGGGAGATGGAGCACCTTTGATAGCCCTCACTTTATCTTCCAATAGGTGTAACTCGGCCTTGTCTACTCTGTAGCCCAAGTAGTTCACTTTGGGTGCCTGGGACACACATTTTTCCCTTCCAAGGTGTACACCCGCCTGTGAGAAACGTTTAAACACTATGTCAAAGTTCTCCAAGTTTTCTTTATTGGTCTTGCCGATTATTAGCATGTCATCCAGATAAATGGCAACCTGGGGTAGACCTTGCAAAATGTTCTCCATTGTCTAGTGGAAATGGCGAAGGCAGACGAGACCCCAAATGGCAGTCTTGTATATTGGTACAAATCCTTATGGGTATTAATTATGGCATACTTCTAGGACCCCTCACCTAGTTGCATTTGCAAGTATGCAAGGCTCATGTCCAGCTTTGTGAAAGATAACCCCCTCCCCACCGCCCCCTGCCAGTTTTGTGTACAAGTCCTCTATGCAAGGGAATAGGTATTTATCCAGCTGTGAGAAGCAGTTTACCATTTGCTTAAAATCCCCACAAAGGCGAACTGAGCCGTCAGGCTTCACAATTGGTACGACCAGTGCTGCCCATTCTGCAAACTGCACTAGTTTGATGTTTCCTTCGCTTTCCAGACACCTGATTTCTGCCTCTACTTTTGCCTGTAAGGCAAATGGCACTGGGGTCCCTTGCAGAATCGCAGAATTGCTTCTTGATCAACATATAAGGTGGCCTTAGCTCCTTTGATAGTCCCTAGATCTGCCTGAAAAACTTCTGGGTATTTAATTAGGATTTCACACAGGTAGCCATTTTCTAATCAAAAAATGTTGACCCAATCAAGGTGAATTTTTCTCAACCAATTCCCATCTCATCAAGCTTGGACCTGAGCCTTTTACTACTTCTTTTAGATAGACCGGAACCAAAATCATACCCTGAATCTGAAACGGTTCCGTGGTGTACGGTCTCAGCCTGGCCGAGGTCTTGCACAAACTTAAGATTTGGAATCCAGAGTGAATCTTGTTAAAGACTGGTCTGCAACCACTGATACAGCTGCGCCGATATCAACCTCATGATAACTGGGTGATCACTTGAGCAGATATTTATTTTAGTTCAGATTTGGATATTGCTAAGCAATTGTAACTGTTCCCAACCACATGTCAGTGGACTTTCCAGGTGACTCTTTTAATCTCCTGTTTATATCTGTCTCCCAGGGCTCCCTGGTCAACAATCCCAATCAAGGATCTCCTACTCAATGAGATCCACCTGCTCCTTGTTCCAATCCCTACACTATTCTAAACCTGTAAATTATTGCTAGTTCAAATTGAATATTTCTATTCATTCCTCTAATGTTGTTGTGAATAATTGTTTTGTCAAATTTTCAGGACCTTATCAAACATTTGTGCTTTTTGGAAAAAATATACCTACTATCAAATTAATTCACTTGATATCCTCATTCTAATGTAAATTTCAAATCAGTTTAAACCCCAGTTTTCATTTAATATTTTTATAATATTTCTATGTAAGGAATAGATTACCACTATTGTTGTGGGATTCTGTATCTTGTCACAACTAGTAATTTTTTTGCCTGGAGGATTCTTAATAAGAGGGTTATTGGTTGATGTCAGACAGAAATCTGTCTTTGGTATAGTTTTGTCTGCTCTGCCATTTCCTGGTTCCCCACTATTATTTCCCCAAGCCTCATTCTCTAAGGGGTCTCTGTTCACTTTTGATTCTCTTCATTTTTATAAGTTAATATATGTTTTATATATTTAAAGCTCTTGCTGATCTGTCTTGATCTAAGGAGAGGCAGTGGCCGAGTGGTATTATCACTGAACTATTAATCCAGAGACCCAAGTAATGATCTGGGCACCTAGGTAGATAGTGGAATTTAAATTCAATAAAAGTCTGGAATTAAAAGCTTAATGATGACCATGAAACTGCTGTCGATTGTCAGAAAAACCTGTTTTCTTCACTAAATCCCTGTAAGGAAACTGCTATTCTTACCTGGCCAAACCTACATGTGACTCCAGACTCGCTGCAATGAGGTTAACTCTTAACTTCCCTTTGGGCAATTAGGGATGGGCAATAAACACTGGCCCAGTCAGTGATGCACACATCCCTTGAATGAATTAAAAGAAATATTACTTGCAGGTTTACCCTCAAGATTTATTTTTTCTTTTTATTTGGTCATCTTTTGGATTTTAGAATTTTCTGGCTTACCACTAATCTTTTTCTCATCTGTTTATCTTTCAATTTGATGTTATTCTCAACTTCCCTGATTAACCCTGATTGGCTTACGTAGACTCTTTTCTCCTCACTAGAATATACCTTTGCTGTGAACCATGGAATTGTTTTTAAATATCTGCCGTTGATCCTCAACCATCTTTGGTGCTAAGCTCTTTTTACAATCCACTGCAGCTCTGCCCTCATTCCTTTGTAAATACCCTTATTTAAGCTTAGCACTGTTGTTTCTGACTCAGGTTCCTGCCTCTCAAACTGAATGATTTAATTTAGTCATACTATGATCTCAGTTTCCTAGGGGGCATTTTATTGTGATATAATTTGTTAAAACTTACCTCATTACACATCACCAGATCTGAAATAGTCTGCACCCTGCTTGGATTCTCGATATATTGTTCTTGGAAACTGTCCTGAATACACTCTATTCTTCCTCATGGTTTTTTTATGCCAGTATAAGCATCCCAATTTCCATGAAGATTAAGGTCACCCTTGATTAATGCCTTTGTTACATGCCCTCAATATCTCTTCATTATTCTCTGTCCCACCAATTTAGCTATGATTAGGGGCCTGAAGACTCCTACTAGTGACTATCCTTGCCTATTGCCCATTTATTATTGGACGCTTGATAGTTTGTAGGAACAAAAAATTTGATTTGTTATTGTCTGTGTGAAGCAGGGCATGTATTTGATCATTTCTGACATCCTTGTTTACAGTCATTATGTAGATTTAGTGGGCAGTCTTGCTGCTGATTCACGAGTGCTGTGTGTGAAGGCAGCTCTTTGGCTCATTGAGTGTTGCTGCTACATAGAGTATTTGTTGCTGCAGATCATGCAAATCAAACATAGATTCTTGCATACAATGGAGATAAGACATTTTGTGGGTAGCTTAATATAACCAATCAAAGTAGTATTCAAAAAGCAAAATCAAAAGTCTTGTTTCTCTTTGCTTGTATTCATTAGTTTATTCCTTGAGATGATCTGAGAGTAGTTCCTTGTCATAATCCAAAAATAGTCTATACAAACTTAATTCCATAGCTAAGTCATGGCCTCCTTCATTAATCTGAACATGCAAAAACAAACTTTAAAGTTACATACTAGTGCCTCAACTAATCAAGTGCGGATTTATTATAAGTCTTCTAACTACACAGAATTCATAAATTGATCAGTCATCTGCAATGTTATACTCGAGCATTTCAGCAGAAATAGGAATAGAATGTAAAGCTGGGGAATTGTTGATGATTTTATTAGAAGATGGAAATGCTCATGTGCATTCTTCTGTTGGGAGATCTTACTGCATATTAGAGCAGACCTCAAACGGAAAACTTAAACAGCATTGCAGAGTAGGTGTTATCCGACCCTGTGCTTTGGATCACGGTGACGTTGTTTAAAACCAAAACATTTTAACAGCTGTGTCATCATGTGATTGCTCTGGTATTACCCAAAGCATATGACATGTGGCATTTTGATAACTGCTGATGTAGTAACCTTTGTGTGAAAAAAATCTAAATGCCAAGTTGCGTCTAATATTCAAAATTGCTTTCACATTATTTAAGGTGGATTATTGAATCTTTCATAAGCTATTGTGAACCTTTGTCCATTTGTTATGGTTGATCATGGTGATGTTGTTTAAAATCAAAACATTTTAACAGCCGTGTCACCATGTGATTGCTGTAGTATTACCCAAAGCATATGACATGTGGCATTTTGATAACTGCTGATGTAGTAACCTTGTGTGGAAAAAAATCTAAATGCTAAGTTGTGTCTGATATTCAAGATTGCTTTCACATTCTTTAAGGTGGATTACTGAATCTTTCATAAGCTATTGTGAACCTTTGTCCATTTGTTATAGTAATCTAATTAGTTTAAGTTTTGCATGCTTAAGTCTACGTATTTCTAAACTGAGCAGAGATTTGCATGTAGTAAAATCAGTGAATGCACAGAGGGAGAAAACGTGTATGTATGCATGTGTGCACATGCTCAAGCTAACGTAGACACTTGGATCTATTCATAGCTGGGGCCTCGTTCAGTTGACGGCATTATAACTTAAGTCAGAAAATGGAGTGTTGAATTCCCACAAGCATAGTATTCCTTGCTGCCTTTTTAGCACAGTGATGCGATAATTGACAAGTGCTATCTTTTGACCGAAAAGTTATAAGGAGTTTTCTCTGCTTACTTTGGTGTTTGAAGTGCAGCAAACAATTCCATATCACTGTTCCAAAACAATGAGGAATTCCAGCCATTATACCTCCCTCAACCAAAACTGTTCAAACCAGCTTACCTACATCAGTTTGTCTAATTTCTCTTGTTAGCATTTTTGTGTGCCAAGGATAACTGCTGTCTTCACCTAAAATGTGAGTTTCCAAACCAATTATTTGATTGTAAAGCATTGTGCCACATTCTGAGGCCATTATAGCCCAAATAAATTGAAGTTTATTTTAAAAAGAAACATGTTTAAATTACTGCATGCAGTCTACATCAGCCATACCAGTGCAACTGTGAAATACTTCTAAGAGCCAATAGTCTAGTGATTTCCTTTTTATGTCAGTAAAAATGCATTCTGTTTAAACGGCTCTGCTTTGTAACCTAGTTATATTTCCAAAACAAATCACTCTATGCACATAGCTGAAAAAACATATTCCAGAGACAAACGTAAAGAATTTGTCACTGCTGAACCATGATGCTGATGATGGAATGTTAACCTTGAAATATTTAGCTGTATGCAGCTTTGGAGACACTGCCTCTGGCTAAGTCATCTGAAACATTGTACGGTATCTGGATATCTATTCTAGGATTTGTACCATGATGCTTCTGTCAGTGTGTTGAGAATTCTTTCTGTCACTTAAACTGTCTGTTCCTATAGCAAGGCTTGTTACTTAAATCGAAATAGGGTTACTAAGTTCGATCTGTTCTGTGAACACTGTCTAAATTACGTCATTGCAAAAGACCAAGCTTGTATGTAGTGCATTTTCTTTCCTTATTCATGGCATTTATTGCTCATCCCTAATTGCCCTTGAGAAGATGGTGGTGAGCTGCTGCCCTGATCTGCTGTAGTTTTTGGAATATGGGGACACCTGCAGTGCTGTTGGAAGGCAGTTTCAGGATTTTGACCAGCATCAGTGAAGGAATGTTGAAGTATTTCCAACTCAGGATGGTGTGCCTGCCTTGGAGGGGAACTTGCAGGTGGTAGAATTCCCATGCATCTTGTCCTTCTGGGTGGTAGAAGTTACAAGTTTGGAAGGTGCTGTCAGCAGAGCTTTGGTGAATTACTGTGGCGCATCTCATAGACACAACATTGTATGTTGATGGTGAAAGGAGTAAATATTGGAAGTAGTGGATGTAGTACTAATTAAATGGGTTGCTTTGTCTTGAATGGTGTCAGGCTCCTTGTGTGTTCTTGATGTTTTACCATGCAGGTAAGTGGAGAGTATTCCATCACATTCATGCCTGTGCTTTGTAAGTGATAGATGAGTAGTGGGGATGCAGAAGCTAAATTACTTGCCACAGAAGCCCAAGCATCAGACCTGCAGTTGTAACCACAGTATTTATAGGGCTGATCCAGTTCAGTTTCCAGTCTGTGGTAACTCCTCGGATGTTGACAGTGGGTTTTCAACATATAATGCTATTGAACATCACGAGTTAATGGTTAGATTCTCTCTCATTGAAGATGGTCATTACATAATATTGTATTCTTCTTTGTTTATCTTCATGCATTTTCTTTTCCTTTGGGGATTATTAGGGAAGTGGTGAAAGAATTCACAGGCCAAATGAATTCTTATTCCATGGCCAACAAGTCCTGGTTGGGATTGAACACAGAGCTTCTGGCTGAGACAGATGTTATCACTGCATCACAATACCTCAATATAAAGTATATTGAACTGAACATATCGCCTTGGCTTTCTACAAAATTCAAATAAAGTTTTATTTTAGTCTGTCTTATCAACTAACCTCTGCTTCCCTACAAAAGTTGGTTATTTGGAGTACGAAGCTAACTGATCTTTAGTCTCTAACATCCAAAACATGCCATTTTTAAGGAAAACTGATGTTTTATCTTTCAGATTAAACTAAATCAAAGATTTTTTTTCAGGAATATTTTTCATCCTACTTTGAATAGTTCATTTTGCCTGCTAGGTGCAAATACTATTTGTGGGGCTTAGCTATTCCAACTGTAGTGAAATGATGACACAGGTAATTCTGCAGATATTCATTGATTTAGGTTACAGTCATCTGTAACTTTTAGTTTCCTAAACATTGGCTGGATCCTAAGGTAGTTTGTTAGTGCATATACAGCAGAGTAAAATGATGCAAGTTAACAACTATAATTGGTTTCCTCTTTTGCTGTCACTTTCTCTCTCACTTTTTCTCTGTTGCTGTAAGATTTAACTTCCCTACAGCACTTAATATCACTTCCAACTATATTTCTCACTTAAAAGATCAGTACAAAAGTTTGTTTTTTTATTTTCAGATGCCAAATGGCTGCATTCTGTTACTAAATATCTTTTCTTTCTTCAGGAAGTATAAAACTATCAAGCTTAGCATGTGGAGGGCAGCACGTATGGGCTTGTGATGTTGATGGAAGTATTTACTTCCGGATGGGGACACAGCCATTGAACCCCAGCATGATGCTTCCTGCTTGGATAACCATTGAGCCACCAGAACAGGTAGGCACCTAAGATATGTATTTTTCTTGATTGAGTTTATTATAGCAAAGGATGTCTATGATGGGAAATGGACTGCTTCTGCACTTTGAAAACCCAGCATCAAGAATACCCAGCATATGTGTAAAGCTGTGTGTCAGGTTCATTGTCGACTGCTCCAATAGTACACCTTAAACCAAAAAAAAGTTCAATGAATGCAAAAGTGTAATCTTTTTAATTTCCCAAATTAGCTTTGTTATCATTTCTCAGTCACTGGGCATTAGGGAAAATTTTGCACTGCACTGAGATGCATTTCTTCTGAGAAAATGAGACTCCACACGCAAAGTTAGTTGCAAGACCATTGAGGTTGTTCAGCGGTAATTATCATAGTGCCAACAGAATTGTTATGGTGCAGGCTGAGGCCATTCAGCCCATCAGGTCTACACTAGTTTTGTTACCTAGTGCTAATCCCCAATTCCTTAGCTTCCTTTTAACTGCAACAGAGCTCACCAGAGATTTCCTACTTCTCTGCAGAACGAGGTGGTATATCCACCCGTTGTACCACCTTCAATGAGCTGTGTTCGTATGTGCTCATCTCCCACTACTCCTGCACCTTTTAGAATTGTACTCCTTATCATTTGCCACTTTATTTAACAACTTATTTATTCCAGACTGCACCAGCTAAAACTATTTCACTAGATTTTTATTGTAAAACTAATGGACAGTATGGCAAGTTCACATCATTGCCAGGGGGAGGCAATGCCCTAGTGGTATTATCGTTGGACTGTTAAGCCAGAGACCCAGATAATGTTCTGGGGACCCGGTTTCGAATTCTGCCACAGCAGATGGTGGAATTTGAAATCAATAAAATTCCTGGAATTAAGAATCTAATAATGACTATGAATCCATTGCCAATTGTCAGAAAAAACCCATCTGCTTCACTAATGTACTTTAGGGAGGCAAACTGCCATCCTTATCTGGTCTGGTCTGCATATGACTCCAGACCTACACAATGTTGACTCTGAACTGCCCTCTGGGGAATTAGGGATGGGCAATAAATGCTGCCTAGCCAGTGATGCCCTCATCCCATTTAATGAATAATAAAATAAAAGTCCTGCATTTTCCCCATATCCCTACACACCATTACTATTCAAATAGTTATCCAGTGCCTTCTTGAATGCTTCAATTAAACCTGTCTCCGTCACATTTCCAGGGATGCATTCCGTACCTTAAATCCTTACATCATTCACTCTATGTTTGCACATCGCTTTAAGTCCATGCCTTCTTGTTGTTTTTCTCTTATATGAGCAGAAACAACTTCTTTCTTTCTACCCTATTCAGCCTGCTGATAATTTTGAAACCTCAATAAGATCAGCTGTCAGCCTCTTCTGTCCAAGGAGAGCAGCCTCTTCAATCTATCCTCATAACTGAAGTTGCTCATTTCTGGAACCCCTTATAAACTGTTTCTGTACTCTCTTCAATACATTCACATTTTTCTATAATCTAGTGCCCACAGTGTATTCAATACCCCATCTTGTCTTTTGTAAGTTCAATACCACCTCGCTGCTATTGTATTCTATGCCCCATTGAAGCTGAGGACACTATGCTTTAACTGCTCTCTCCGCCTGTTGTACCACCTTCAATGAGCTGTGTTCGTATGCGCTCATCTCCCACTGCTCCTGCACCTTTTAGAAATGTACTCCTTATCATTTGCCGCTTTATTTAACAACTTGCTTATTCCAGACTGCACCAGCTAAAACTATTTCACTAGATTTTTGTTGTAAAACTAATGGACAGTATAGCAAGTTCACACCATTGTCGTAGTTTCACTGCCAAGCAATATAACACCTCGTCCTATAGAAAAGTAGGAAATCTCTGGTGAGCTCTGTTGCATTTAAAAGGAAGCTGCGAAATTACAAGGGAGAAGGGAGTAGTCTATGTTGGCAGTGTACATTGAAATTGATGTGATACATAAACCTGTTGAACTAAATGGTCTGCTTCTATATAATAAAACAAAGAACCGTGGATCCAGGAAATCTGAAATGAAAACAGAAATTGTTGGAGGAACTCAGAAAGTCTAGCAGAATCTGTGGAGAGGAAAACGGAGTTAACGTTTTGGGTCTGGTGACCCTTCTTCAGAACTGATAGCAGCTAGGAGAAGGTGGTATACAAGCTGAAGATGGGAGTGGGAGTGGGAGTAGGGGAAAAGAGTGAATGGGTAGGCGGCAGTGGCCTCCTTCTGCACTTTGAAATTCTATTCCAGTCTAATTCTTTAGCCTAGTCAATTTCCTACTTGTTTCCTCTTGTTGTAAACTGCTTAAAATTTTAAATAACAACTGACAATGAGTACAGTAGTGCCACTGACTACATTTGAAGCTGTGAACCATAACTTCTTTTTCCAAAATTCCATCCTTTCTTTTCCCAGTATTAAACCCCAATTTTCTCTTTGCTGTGGTCAGAAGGTATTGTCTCATTCGGAGCTGTGGTCTCATGAGTGCGTTTGTTTTTGTACATAGACTTGGGGATTGTGCGTAGTTTGTTTGACTGCAAAACATGAGCACAATTTTTTTCTTCGCCAGCATCAGTATTAACACTTTCCAGGAGAGGATTGAAAATGTGGCTCAAAGGATAGTGAACAAGAACCTGAAGTCTGATTATTACTTTTCATGTCTTGCCTACTATCAAACTCAGCGCACTAAGGGTAATTGTAGTTTCTCCTGTACTTCAACATTACTACATAGAATAGGTACTTTCTTGATATTAAAATAAGCCTGTTAGTGAGTCGTATTACAATTCCAGCTATACTTAGAATAAAATATTCACACTGAAGGCCAAATGGTACTCCTGATAACTTTATTTAGAAACAGCACTGGCATTTGTTCTACAACGCAAGTTCCTAGCCTGTAAGAATTCCTAGTTTGAAGATGGTGTGGAAATCTATGAAAAATCTTTAAGAATACTGATCTTCTGATAATATTTATAAAGATACCAGACCAATCATTTGAACGCCTTGTGAGCAGATGTTCACAGCCATTTATATCCAAATTTGAGTCCCCAAATTATTTGTATCAACATTTCAGACAATATTAACATTAATGCTACCAATTCCTTTCATGTTCCACACACACTCTTAAGCAAATAAAATTAATTATTTCTTGGTGATTTATTGAAGTTAGCCAATATTCGTTAACTAAAGTTAGAATCATAGCTGACATAATGTAAACATGATTAGGAAAATAATTAGATAACAAAGTGAATCGGCTTTAACTATTAACTGGTGGTAAATCTGCAGTTGAGTTTTAAGATGAATATAAATTGATGAAATTAACATTGGATTAAACTGTTTTGATAATTGTTAAGTTAACACCATTAGATAACCAGAATGTAAAACAGATTAAAATGTATATGTTAATAGTTAGCAATGTTTCCAGAGCTTTTCTCACCTTGTCTTCGTGAGCAAATGTAGATGAATGGTGTTAGCTTTCTAAGACATTATAGTGATGAACCTCCATTAGTGCTAGATTTCCTGCTTCTAGCTAAATTTGTGTTGTGCTCTGCCAGCCATATTTGGACAAACTACCTAAAATTTCACGTTTTAACTGATCTTTCTGGCTGGTGAAGCTGTACAATATTAACATCTGTGATTTCCCAATTCTTAGAAATGCACATTCCTACTTTAGACACCTCTATCCACATAACCAAAGTAATACAAGCTGAACTAGAAACTAAAGATGCACTTTCAATGTCAAAAATATTATTGTGCACATATATAATTTCCAAATTAAATTCTTCAATTATCTAACATATTGGAAGAGCTCGATCCTCTTGTGCCAGTTACCTTATGCAGTCCTTTTCCTAATCCTCCAGATAACAACCAGATCAATGTGACACCAAACTTGGATGTGCCAGATTACGTGTTCATTCTTTGCATCAGGCTGTTGCTAAGAAACAGTCCCCAATCTGTAATTAGGGTTTTGAATACATTACACCTAAAATTACCTTTCAGCATATAATCTTCAGCATTGTAGTCAGAGGTGACGTTGACAACTCTCTGTCCTGGCAAATCAGTTAAGCATTTGCTTTGTGCATGTCCTTTGTAAGATTAAAAATGCTATAGTGAAAGTAAGGTGGGAAAATTGGTCCCTTGCGTTATCTAAGCACGCACTCTGTATGGTAATTTTAATTAGTTTTTTTTTCCAGTTCAAAACTCAACTTTCAATGGGATTTTTTAGAAAATTACCATATTGTTGGTTATCTCAAGTGATGAATTGTAAAGCTAGATTTTTTTTCATGAAGCTCTTTGTATTTTAAATCTGTAATTACATTGTGCAATTTTGTGTCACCTAAGTAACATGTTGGGATTTTGAAACAAGGTATTTCAATGGATGGACATATAGAGTCCTTGCATGTATCAACAGGACTCTATAGTGTACTGTCTAGACATTATCTAATATGTAAAGTGCTTATGAGTGCCATTAGGATCCAGCGATTGCTCCTTACTTAGGAATGCTGTACAATAACATTAGATCTGTATTCATCCAGGTTTTGTTTATTCTGCCTAATTCAATATTTTATGGACAATTTTTACATAAGTGGTCATCCTTTTCATAAACTCAAAAAAATCTCATTCAAATGTCAGAAGTTGACTTGAGTGGATTTGTCAACAGCAGGGAACTTCAGAAGTAGTATTTATGATTGAAACGGGAAGAAGTTTGTTTATTTGCAACATTGATAAACATCAAAATGTTTTTGAGCCAAGATGAGTAAGTCTTGCAGCAAATGGGTGAACTCTTCTAGATCAGTCTCTGGGATAAAAATAGCTAAAAGTAATTCAATAAAACTGCTAACATTTCAGCTATTTGAGCATTATGTGGAAGATAACGCAAGTATTCTAGTCACACATTTTAAAGGCTTTTCAACCACAAGACATATTTAGCATCATATATTGCATTTAGAACACTTTTTCTACCTACATAAGGTGGAATCATTCTCCTGGTGATTGTTGTGTAACTATGTAACAGTCA